TCTATATCTAGTAATCTCCCGACAATTCCCGAAGGTTCGAGAGAACGAGTCACGTGACCTCGCTGACGCAACAGTAATATTACAATTTAGTTTTAGTAAATGAATATATGCTGAAAGTTTTTAATAACTACTTTTTTAATCGTGGTAAATGAGTAGACATTAACTTTCACTGCCATGGACATATTTATGTCCCTCCCTTTAGTGTATGTGAGTTTGGAATTTTTGTACCATCATGAAGAAACGGCATTCATTTCCCTTCTGAATTCCCAAAGTTTATCAGTTTTAGACAAGTAGTGAAATATTAAAACGTGGAAGTAAAGAATTGTTTTCCTATAAACATGACAGTGGAAGAGTTATAGGTGTTCAAATTACTTGTACTGAACTTTTTTAAACTTTATCAGAACTTATTATCAAAGTAATTAAATGATAAAATAATCTCTCTCTCTCAACTTTATATCCATCTATATGATGTTTTGTTTTATAGCCTCTAACATCAGAGTAGGCCTAATGGCCCGATGGCTTCGAGCATCCCGAAGTATCCTGTTTCACCACATCTTATGTTTTGTCACGTGTCTCCTCTTGTATCACATAGTCTTAACATACGTATGGAAGAAACACAAGAATTCGAACGATATTAAATTACAGGATAGATTTAGTGAAAGTTTACAAATTCGTAGCAATTTTCACGAGAAACGTGAGCCAAACTCGGACATTCAGACAAGACGTAATTACAGCATCTTATTTTGGAAAGAAAGCAAGCGAATGCTTAAACGGTTCCTTCGTAGTTATGGGTCAGACGAACTTGACCCCTTTGCTTTATGTTCAGTCAGGAACTGCTATATAGAAACTGACAACGAAAGGGGTTTGTTGGAAAGCGATGCTGTAGTATTTCATCTTCACCGAATAGCAGGCCCACATAAGCTACCGTTGCGGCCTCGAATGCACCCACCTCTTCAACGGTGGGTGTTTTTTACTGACGAATCGCCGTTAAACACATTTCTTGTGACCAACCAATATCAGATGAGTGATTACAATGGGGTCTTTAACTGGAGTATGACATATAGACGTGATTCGGATGTGTACGTCCCTTATGGAAGAACTGTGCTGATGTCACTCGACGAGCAACAGATTGCCCAAGAAGGATTCAGAAATCGTAACTTTGCAGCTGATAAGACCAAGTTTGCCGCCATTTTGATAAGTAACTGTGGCGGTAGCAATAAGAGGTTGCAGTATTTACGGGAGCTGAAGAAACATATTCCTCTCGACACGTTTGGGAAATGTGGCAAAGCTGTTTGTCCAGGTCACTTTCGAATGGACTGTGCCCTGCTTCGAGAGTACAAGTTTTATTTGGCATTTGAGAACAGCAACTGCCGGGAATATATTACTGAAAAGCTTTGGTGGAACGCATTTCAAAAAGAAATAGTTCCTGTGGTCATGGGTGCCCCTCGCGATGACTATGAGGAGGTATGTCCACCACACTCATTTATACACGTGGATGACTTCGAATCTCCGTTTTCGTTAGCTGAATATCTAATTCGTGTGAACGGAAGTGACGACATATACAACACTTTTTTCCGGTGGAAGGAGAACTACAAGGTGGTTAACGAACACGGATATTTCGGATCATACACTTCACACATCTGCCGACTGTGTGAAGCATTAAATAGTCGTAGAAACAACGAAACCAAAGTGTACGATAGACTTGAGAACTTCTGGAGTGCTAAATTAGACTGTTTCAGACCACAGTGGTCCATTTCCAAAAATGTTAATTAACGGTTATAGATACTAGTTGCATATTGTTAGTATTGTACCTTTTCACAACAATAATATTTTGATTTTATTCCTCAAGTCTTTTTTTTTAAAGAAGAAAATAATATTGTTGGAATCATAAGTTCAAATGGCCTTCATTGTTTAAGAATATAATAATTGTTTAAGCATGATGTAACCAAAGGCTTGAATGTTTAATGAATGTTCTATTAAAAACTTAATATCACTGATAGGTTTGTTATTATTACAATACCATTTATTTGTTGTACACCATTAAAAGTTGTTTAGGAAAGCTCCCGTAGTGGCCCAGAAGTCTGAAGGCTTACAACGTTAAACAACAGGTTTCGATACATGTAGTGATTACCGCACAGATAGTCCATTGTGTAGCTTTACGCTTAACAACAAACAATGAAACAGTGTTTTGAAAAAGTAATTGTTTAAATACTGTCTTTACAATCTTATATATTAATATACTAAAGTAACAACGTTTCTGTACAAAATAAGATGATAAACTGATAAAATTTATCACTACAGATTACCGAATGACGACATAGATTCGGATAATTCAGTTTAATGGCCTCAACATCTCGTGCTTTTAGTTTGTTTATTTTAAGAGTTTTTGCGTAAAACTACACAAGGACTGTCTGCGCCAGTAGTCCTTAATTTTGAACTAACAGACTAGAGGGAAGGTAGCTAGTCAACAGCACTCCTCGTCTACTCTTTCATGAAAGAATAGCGGGGTTTGACCGTTACACTTATAACACACTTAACTCTCCCATGTTCTAAGTATATACTTCTTATAGTGTGTAATTAGTACCCGCTTGATAAAACATAAACATTTTGTGTGGAGATTCTCATGTGTTTGTGTATGTGTGTGTGTATTTGATCCGTTTCTGTGTGTGTGTCATAGTTTTGTACTGTTATATGTCTGCCTAACGTTTTTCTAGCTTCTATATCATTAATTAGAATGTGTTAATATCTAAATGCAAAAACACGTCCTATTTGGATTTGTAAGTATTATACAGTTGCCAGCAGATGGCGCACGACAGCTTGCACTACCTTTTGTTTGTTTCAAATTCACTGAAAGAATTGTTTATAGAACGAAAATTCAAAACAAACTTTTGTCCTGCAATTCGTATTTAAAAAATCTGTCATCAGTTTGTTTGATTTTTGATTGTATTTAACAAGAAATTCATTATTTATTTTAAGAAATCAATAAAATGGTAACTTGTTATTGGAATTCCAACTGTGTGATCATGTGGTGATTAAACTCATCATTCGCGTTCTGCCTATCTGAACATGTGATACTCAACTTATCGCTTTTTCGCCTAAATTCATAGTTTTATTAACGCTTCTGCTTTCTTAGTGATTCTAATTAGGCAACATATTGTTACGTCTCCGTTTGTTAATTGATTTTTCCGTAACTTCGTTCCAACGAAACTTTAACGACACAAGTCTTA